TTTTACTTTCGGTCTGGTTTCGATTTCGGCTGAAACCGGAAATTCAGTTTCGGTCGGCCCCTACCTGGAGGAATCTGATAAGTTATTTTCCACAGATGTCCAGTCGGGGAAGGTCAGCAAGTTACATACATTGTACGATACATTTGTAATTGTTGTTGGTGCCGAATTCTCACATTAGATACTTACAATGTAATAATACGGGTGAAGTTGAAAAACATATGTAAGAAACTGCCTTATTAAACGTTTCACTTGATTGTGACAATACATTCTAATTGGCAGTTCCCAAAAACATATTTCGCTCTGAATTGCACTTAACAATGCAACTCTAAACTCGTATCACATAGTCCTCAGTACACAAGCCACATATGCGGCACAAAACATATCGTGAGCTAGTGTTTGGGTCGTTCCTGCCTTGAACACTCAGCTGGAATAATTGTTGGAAAATCCCTCATTTATGGGAAAGCGCGTGGAAGGCTTAACGGGACAATAATTAACCTACAGGTGTGAGAACGCACTAGCTAAGGTCACCTCCACGCAGAAAATCAGTGCTGAGACCCCAAGTGGAAAGCACTGAGCATTGTGAACAGCGACCAACCCAGGTGGTCGAGTGGGATGAGGTTAACAAGAGTAGACAATTTAGTCTTACGATCACCATTTTAGGTTGCAGCATCACGACTCTCAGCGGTGGCTGGGGGTAATCCATAGGCAGGGACTCTGCCCGCTTTCCATGGCGTGGGTTGGCGGAGACGCAGCATTATTCCTCCCCTCTATGCTGCCGGTCACAAGCGACCTCTTGAGCGTACGATCTCGTGAAAGAAAATATTTCCCAATAGGAATATGCAATGCGTTTAATTTAAATTAGATGATGGTACTCTCACCATACTAGAATCTCAAGCAAGGTCCCAAACAACGCTGGCAAACAGAGTGAAATAATGCAGATGTCCAGAATAAACGCCTCAATCGAGAATAAATCATTGAACCTCTCTTGACTCGGGTGCAACCGCAACAAAAAAAACCATGAACAAAGAACATCTTAAAGTGACTACGCGCAACAGAAACATCCACGAAAAAACAGCAAAATCTTCCAGAAAAAAACACCGTATATCATCAACGCTGTGTGCAAAAATCCCAGTGGGATGCAAGTCAAACAATAACAACCATAAGACAATTTAGATTTAAAGTTATGAGGCTAACTCTGTACTTCAACAAACATGGCTGAAACATGTTTTCGAAATCACCAAAATAAATCTATAAAAACAATGTAACAGTGATCATAGGAACTGTGATTCATATTTAATAATAAACGATCTAAAATAACATGTACGACCAAACTTTACAGCCATAGCTGGCAGCATGACTCGCTCCATAACAGCAGGAGTATCAGCAGGAGTATCAAATGTATGTACTGTGCTGCGTAGATTTATTTTTTACCGTCACTTTCTGTAAAGAAACGTCATATTTGAAGCGACTTTGCGTAATAAATTATTTAATTCAGCTCGACCTTCCTCTGCGTTAGGGTAAAAATCCACCCACTCATGAAGATTAATGAAGGTTGGGGTGGGCCTCATGTGGAGTGACGTCACGCGGGGGGGGGGTGGGCCTCATGTGGAGTGACGTCACATGTGGGACGGACAGACATTTTTGGGTGATTATAATGAAGAGGAGTCGGAGAATGGTTTAAGCGCTTCTTTAATTCACCAACGCACAGCAACACTCGTTCCTAGACCAACCTCGAACACACGTCCCACAGCCCCTTATATCCCCTCAATCTCCGCTCCCAATACACATCCGCGTCTAGCACGCCTGGTCCGGGTGACGTCACTGCCCTTTAACCCCTGACCCCCCGTCCCGAGCATTCCCGCGCTTGTGATTGGCGCGTGTTGTCGTGAGAGCGGAGATGTCGTGTCTGCATGGTGCGTGTGCCTGAGGGTGACTCGCAGATCCCTTACAGATCATGGGAACAGAATAACAATAACTGGGAACAAGCAGACTTTAGGAAAAGTTCCCTTCCATTGACCACATTATGAATCATCTTCAAGAAAAGACATTTAATTAAAATTACCATTGTTCTGAACCTTTGTAGAATGATAAAGCATTTCACTCGGTATAAAGCGGTGAAGTCATACAAGCTGTCACAAACCAATCTATATGAGAGACTCAGTTGCAAAACACAACTGAACATAGCATTAAATCATTCCTATATTTGGTATTCACGCAAGCCAATCGGAAAGGCGCTATGTAGTTACAACAGTGCTGCAGTAGTTTCACATTAGGAGACAATTTTCTTGCGTGTTCTCCCAATTCATTCATTTGTGGGGGATTAAAAACAAATTGAACTGCAGTGTAAGCACGCAATGGCCTGCTAATGTTGAATGATGTCACTGAGGCAGATGGTGCATAGTTTATGGTCAATACACCCGCGGTATTAACCGGAATCGAAGCGCGAATCTCTGCAACAAGCGGCACATAACCATTTGCTGGACCACGTCACCACCCATAAATGTACTTAGAACAGCTATTGATGAGTGGCAAAAAAAATGTATGAATGGAATTGAGGCAAATCTCAGTGGGTTGACTTGCTTTTGAAAACCTTCACTTGACAATGAAACGTAATATACCCAAACGAAACCAAAACTATTGAAACAATTTTTTTATTTTACAAGGTAAGGCTCACTGAGTCATATAGGTATTTTTCAGAAGTGGCATGACCACGAATGACAGCTCAGCGAAGTGGCTTATCACGTGGAAATGTTTAGCAGCCAAGTACTCTAAACGCATGTTTCTAAATGTCGCGGGGAAAACCAGAGGACCCAGACAATAAAATCCACGAGACCACGGGAACACAAAAACTCCAAATATACATGCGTTAGGATTGGTATCCAACCCACGACCCCGTGCATACCAGGCAAGGTAGTTAACATCTTGCCCCATACATAAGCATTTCTAAAAACAAACATGGGGGAAGGGGGTGGGGGAGGGTGGGGGAGGGTGGGGGAGGGTGAAGTTTAAGAAAGCAAACAGAGAACAAAAGATGTCAAAATACGTGTTGAGCAATATAAGTCTCACAAAGAGACTGCGATGTGAAACTGAAGATCGAATACAACAGAACTCTGTAAAAGAATGAGAGTAAAAAAGCGGAACACACAACACAAAAAACTGTCAAGTTCTAAGTTACATTTTAGTTTTCTTTTCCCAGACGAGAAAATGCCAAGGTAAATTCTTACTTGCAAGAGTGACCTCAGTCAACAAAATGACAAAAGCAAAACGGATACAATATGTACCTTATACTCTTAGCTCTTTCGGTAAAGTCACGTTGAAGGGAAACAATAAAATAATAATATATATAAAACAATATATTTAAAACAATATTTTAAAACAATATATTTTATTATTTTATTGTTTCCCTTCAACGTGACTTTACCGAAAGAGCTAAGAGTATGAATTACTGCAGTCACGAAAGCTTTAAATCAAAATATGTACCTTGGTCAGCTGCTGAAGGTAGCCAACATTACGTGAATGAAATCAAGCCAGACGTGAATGGGATGAAGTGTATTGTCAGGAGCAGAGCCGCTTGAACGAGCTCCAGCTGGTATGTGGAAAATGAGGCTTGCTCCATACACTGAGACAAGAGCTGTGATTGCAGTGAATATTGATTGTGCCTCAGGAAGGCGATTTCCACAGTCGCCTACCACCATGTAGAAACAGGCGTTAGCAGCTACTGCAGGGGTACGCTGTGAGCAGTAGAGAGATTATGGCAGGGGGAAAACCACATTGTTGTACAATACTATGCTCCCCACCTTCACACCCCACACACTGAGCAGTGGCGAAGAACGGCCAAAGAACTCTGACAACCAAAACGGCACGAGGAGGTTGCTTATCCAGGAATGGATAAACACATGGGGTGTACATGTGTGGAGGTTCTCTCAGCCCGACGTCCTTCTAAGGACCGGGTATGGATGGGCCAGTGGTCAGAGACCCACCAGTGCCAGCGGTGGGTCAGCCTCCTTAGCTCCAGCCAGCCGGAGGGCTATAGGAGTAGGTCAGTGGCTAGGATAGATAGCCCGGAGGCTGTACCTCCACAGGTTGTGGGTGGAAGGGGCCATTACCCCTTCATGTTAAGTCCTAGTGAGTGCTGTTAAAGATATAAAATAAACGTGTTACTTCCTACTAAAAACCCTGGCGGGGTCCGGTGGACATTGTTCGGGTGGTTTGGGACCAGTGCGTTTGGGTTGTGTGCGGGCGGCGCTCATGGTTTGTTCACCCGTCACGCCTGAAACCCTACATCACGCCACTCACTGTCACCTCACGTTCATCTCGCAGGGGCCGTGCGCGTGGTGTGTCCGATGAGCAGGGGGATGGTTCTCCTGACCCTTGCTATGCACCATGCCGTCTTGCCGCTCCCCCGGTTGCTACAGGTGTGACTTCACCGACGATGCTCACGCCGATGGATCGCCGTGCTGCTCCACCGGCCGTCCAACAGGGCGGTGACCCACGAGCGCCGGCGTCCGCCTCTGCTGGAAAGCTGGAGGTCCATCGCCCAGCTCCTCCCAGCCCCCCACCGGGGACTCCTGGCCCTTATGATGATCCCGCTAAGCGGACTCGCTCCAAACTTCCCCGGTTCTCTTAGGGCCCTGTCGCCACTTACCCACACTGTCCGCCGCCTCCTCCTCCTGTGGATGCGTCGGTCAATAACTCACCTTGTCCCTTCTTCGGTCCGCCGGTGCGTTCGTCGACGGGTGGGATTAAGGGCGCAGGGGGGGTCGGACATGCGTGTGGACGGGTTCGGTTCTTGTGTATATTGTTCATAGTGTGTATTTGTACAGGTGGGTTGGGGTAAATTACTGGGCTTGCTACTGTTTCGCTATTGTTGTTGTTAAGGAGCCACACGAGTTCGTGTTCAGTTTTTTATTGTTGAAAATTGATTATTGTTGTTATGGCAGCCGGGACGGCTGCGGGCTATACAGGGGGGGTGGTGTGTGTTGTGGTGGTTACTCTGTAAACACACACCCTACACAGTACCTACCAGAGTGGGGTCATTGATAACCCTGACCAAGACCCCACCTGAGGGGTGGAGGCTGTGGAGTATGTGTGTGTGTGATCCCCCAGAACCTTGCCCCTAGGCAGAAAACGGGATAAACAAACACAGATCGGTTGGACTACCTGTGGCCAGAACCCCTCCTGAGGGGAGGGGGCTGTGGGGTATCTGTGATCCCTCAGAACCCCGCCCCTCGGTGGGGAATCGTATAAAAGGCGGGCTCCTGAGAGCAGAGTTCAGTTCACCTCAAGCCGAAGTCGAGGAGCCACCTGGCGACGAGACCCTGGACCCCAAGCCCCGGCGTCCTTCGGAGGGCCGGGGCTCAGTGCAGTGCCAGTGGTCGAGAGGCTAGGACCCTGAGGTTCCCTCAGCCCAACGTCCTTCTAAGGACCTGGTCTGGCCGGGCCAGTGGTCAGAGATCCACCGGTCCCAGCGGTGGGTCAGCCTCCTTAGCTCCAGCCAGCCGGAGGGCTATAGGAGTAGGTCAGTGGCTAGGATAGATAGCCCGGAGGCTGTACCTCCACAGGGGTGTGGGTGGAAGGGGCCATTACCTCTTCGTGTTAAGTCCTAGTGAGTGTTGTTAAAGATATAAAATAAATGTGTTGCTTCCTATTACGACTCCGTCTCCATACACGACTACTACACATGCACACAGGGCCAAGGTGAAAACCTTTTAAAATCCTTTTTATACTAAGAAAAGTATGACTTTGTTCTTTCATATGATCATTTCGGTATTAACAACATAAATACTACTACATGTGTATTTCCTCTTGCCACGGCAGCTCTCTCGCCTACTTCGCCATTTTTCTTGCTGTGGGTGATGAAATTGCTTGTGTTGCGATCGAAACGTCGTGATTTGTTTAATTTTATTTTATTTCTACTTACGTGACGTTACCGAAAGAACCCAAGAGTATGTGTATTACCTTTACCCATTGGTGGAGGAGGGTCTTTTTATGCTTTGGTGCCCCCAAGGCAGGAGAGGGTAATGTTAATGGGGGTGTTAGCGGGGGGGGTGTGGGGCAAGAGGGAGCATCAACCAAAGGGAAGCAGCAGCACTGAGGGCTAAGGCAAGGGACATGATAGGCAGGATGTTAAAGGATAGCAAAAAGATCTGAGCCAAACAGGATGGAGATCGGAGAAGTGTGCAGATACTTTGGTTGCACTAATTATTGTGTGGACCACATTACTTGCTTATGCGGAGAGACAGAAAGCCGAAGACACAAGCACCGAGTATAGAGAAGTTATAGATGCCTACTGGGCTTGAACAGAAAAGAGTCGCCGTGTACCAGTGGCGTGGGTGGAGGGGACATGCAAAACAGTGAGTGCAGAGCCGAGCCGGACTATTGGGTGTGTCCGGTAGCGATGGAGAGAATGTGCCGACGTGAGAATTTAGAAACGGATTAACGTGTAGCGAGCTCAGAGGCAGGGTGTTATAGGTTGAAATGTATAAAATCGAACAAATAACGATCTCCGTGAGTAACATTCTTTATTTCCTCCGTACGTTATAAAAAAAAAACAGTTTTACGCTATAGATAAAAGTGCGGTCTCTCTCCGACCTAAGGGGGCGTCCATAAATGACGTAACGCACCTGGGGGGGGGGGGGTCATAAATTTGTGACGATGCGTGACGAGGGGGGGGGGTGAGAATGTGACGTCACATCAAAATGCGCAACTTTAAATAAATATAGACAACACGTGCTACTTAAATAGACGTTTTAATAAATGTTTTTTTACTACAACATCAGTGCAGCGCCACATTAAATACGCACTACAATGACAATAGTTTAAAGCGATTTGAAGCATGTTAATACGGTTTTGGGGGGGGGGGGCAGAGCTTTGTGACGTCATATTTGAGGGGGGGTCTGACTTTTTGTGACGCCGTATGACGAGGGGGGGGGGGGTCAAAAATCGTCCAAAATCGCGTGACGTCATTTATGGACGGCCCCTAAGTCATTTGATTATGACTGACGTGTGCAGCGTATTAATTATAGAGGGAGGATAAAATTAAACTGGCAAAATAATTCACAATTGGAACCCCTCAGGTAAACGACTATTGAATCAAGACACGCTGGAGGCAGCCATGAGAGACTTGGGCAAGTCCGGTTCGTCAGGATAGCAAGTGTAAGACATTGGATCGGTCTTCGAGGAGCTAAGGGGCCGTCCAAAAATGACGTCACGCGATTTTGGACGATTTTTGACCCCCCCCCCCCATCGTCACACAGCGAACAAATAGAAATAGGAGCAAAAATAACAGAAATCAGAACAAAAACAACTGCATTACAGAACAGAAAAGTGCACAAACATTAAATAAATAATACTTTGTTTCCTTCCTCTAATAAAGTTGGCTCCGACAAATTATTTTTAAAACATCGTTCCTCGTGTAATGAAGTTACAGAAACGGTTATATGTCAGAGATAACTAAAGGTGAGGTTGTGTCACAAGGTGAAATAAAAGTCACGCCAGAAACACAAAGATACTCACGTGGAAACAAGTTCAAGTGCTGCACAGAGTGATTATGTGCCACGTGCAATGGCTCTGAAATGTAGAAGAGTTGGAGCTCATGAGTAACATATATTGTCGTGTTTGCATTCTGGTGGAGTTTCAAGGTTAATACGCATTTTAAGAGTGGGGTTGTAAAGTACCGTATTTTCCCGCATATAGCCCGCATACGCATATAACCCGCAGACGCATATACCCCGAAAAAATTGCGTTTTGTGTAAAACAAATTTCAGATAGCCCGCACCTCCATATACCCCAAATGCATTCATATCTTTAACGTCTTTACCGCAGCTTAATTCCATCATATTAATACGAAGTTTACATTTGTAATACATTCCATTATCATTTGTTAACATTTAAATCATAAAGTGCACAAAGAAAACAAACTAACCGGAAATGAGTGAACATGAAACAGTAAAAAAAGTTACAAAAGTAAATATACAATAAATATGTAACACATAACTGGTAGATAAGAAAGTACAGTTTTAGCACTGGTAGATTGTGCACTGCGCAGACAATCGCGGCACTACGGTAACGCCGTTGCCTCGCCCCCAACCCCCCACCTTTCTCTTCCCCCAGCTCTCTCGTCACTACCACAGATCTTGCTCTGCCCCACCCCCCATCCCCCCCCACCTCTCTCCCCCCCCAGCTCTCCCGTCGCTGGTAAACAAAGTGCGCCCAATTCAAACATTGTCGTTTCATTGTAAAAAAACAATTAGAATCATTTAAAGCGTGATAACCTGTGCAATTTTAGTGTGAGTGGTTTATTCAGCAGTGCTTTAGTCAAAGGTAAGTGGATAGACCTATAATGAAAAAATTAAACGAGTTATGACATTTTTGATTTAAAGCTTTCGTGACTGCAGTAATTAATATTCTTAGCTCTTTTGGTAAAGTCACGTTTAAGGGAAACAATAAAATAATAAAATATATAAAACAATTAAAATTCTCACGACGTTTCGACCATAACAAAACCGGTCATCATCAGGTGTGAAAACCAACGGCAAGAAACATTTGAAAGAAGTGGCGGTTTGCATTTATTTATTTTTAAAAGGTGTTTGTATTTACTTATTTAAAAAAAAACGTTAGCACCACGGGCAGCGATTTGGCAGTTTGTTTCGAAGGACGAGTCCATCTATGTTCTGAAAAGAGGAGGGGGGAGACGAAAAGTTAATGTATGCTGTCTGAAAGCCACCGTAAGCGTGAACAATCAATTAAGACCTGAAATGGTTTATCAAATCCTTCCAATGATTGCTAAGCCAGAATCCATCTTCTCGGTTGAAATTGTCTCTGTGTTTGTATATGTGGATAGCCTCATGAACGAATCTCTCATGGTAGCCAGATGGCTTACAAAGAACCTCTGTCTTGGAGAAGTCAATGTCATGTGAGCCTACAGAATTATAACAATGATCTGCCACGGCCGAGGTGTTGGTCCTACCATGTTTAAGGTCTGCTTTGTGTTCACGAATGCGGTCCGAGACATGGCGTTTGGTTTCTCCAGTGTAACTACTACCACAGAGGCAACTTAGTTGTAGACACCAGGGTACTGTGTGTCCGGAATCACATCTTTTACAGACGGAACCAGTTCACGGATTTCATGTAATGTGTTGAAACGGACCTGGATCTTGTGTTCATTCAAGATTTTGGAGATCTTTTTTTGTGATCCCCGCAATGTAGGGTAAAGTGATGATTTTGAAAGGCTCCTCAAGAGGGTCCTTCTTCATGGTTTGAGTGATAGCTTTGCGGATTGTATAGTCGGAGTAACCATTGTATAGTCGGAGTAACCGTTAGCCTTAAGAGCTTGGTGTACATGCTTGAGTTCACTGCCTATGTGTTCCTGGTCGGATATGCATTGGGCTCTATGGTACAGAGTCTTGATGAAATAATTCTTCTGTGATGGATGGTGGTGGGAATCCGGTTTCAGATAAGCATCCGTATGGGTAGCTTTCCTGTAGACAGAGTGGCTCATTGAACTATCAGGTCTATTTTTTATTAGGACATCCAAAAAAGGTAGCTTGCCATCTTTTTCGACTTCCATGGTAAATCTGATGGCTGGGTGTATGGAATTGATGTGGTCGAAGAATTGGTCTAGAGCAGGCCGGCAATGTGGCCAGATGACAAAAGTGTCATCCACGTACCTCTTCCATAAGGTTGGGCGCAGAGTGGCAGTCTGGATGGCGTAAGTCTCAAATTTCTCCATGAAAATGTTAGCTATAACCGGAGATGGGCGCGAGCCCATTGGAGTGCCCTCAGTTTGTTTATAGAAAGTTCAATTCCAAGTGAAGTATGTATTGGTTAAGCAGTGTCTCACCAGGGGTGGTACCTCAGTGTTTAGTCCATGATGAACCAAGTCTTCAATGATGCCGATGGTGTCAGGTACAGGAACTTTGGTGAATAAGGAAACTACATCATAACTGACAAACAGGTCATCTGGCGATAGGGAAATACCCTTGATTGTCGATACCGGGTGAGTAGAATTTTGTACCATAGAGGTGGTTTTTCCAGTAAAAGGACGCAGGATTTCAGACAAAAAAGAGACCTGATGGTTCAATGAGCCACTGTCTACAGGAAAGCTACCCATATGGATGCTTATCTGAAACCGGATTCCCACCACCATCCATCACAGAAGAATTCTCTCATCAAGACTCTGTACCATAGAGCCCAATGCATATCTGACCAGGAACACATAGGCAGTGAACTCAAGCATGTACACCAAGCTCTTAAGGCTAATGGTTACTCCGACTATACAATCCGCAAAGCTATCACTCAAACCATGAAGAAGGACCCTCTTGAGGAGCCTTTCAAAACCATCACTTTACCCTACATTGCGGGGATCACAAAAAAAGATCTCCAAAATCTTGAATAAACACAAGATCCAGGTCCGTTTCAACACATTACGTAAAATCCGTGATCTGGTTCCGTCTGTAAAATATGTGATTCCGGACATACAGTACCCTGGTGTCTACAAACTAAGTTGCTTCTGTGGTAGTAGTTACATTGGAGAAACCAAACGCTATGTCTTGGACCGCATTCGTGAACACAAAGCAGACCTTAAACATGGTAGGACCAACACCTTGGCCGTGGCAGATCATTGTTATAATTCAGTAGGCTCACATGACATTGACTTCTCCAAGACAGAGGTTCTTTGTAAGTCATCTGACTACCATGAGATATTCGTTCATGAGGCTATCCACATATACAAGCACAGAGACAATTTCAACCGAGAAGATGGATGCTGGCTTAGCAATCATTGGAAGGATTTGATAAACCATTTTAGGTCTTAATTGATTGTTCACGTTTACGGTGGCTTTCAGACAGCATACATTAATTTTTTGTCTTCCCCCTCCTCTTTTCAGAACATAGATGGACTCGTCCTTCTAAACAAACTGCCAAATCGCTGCCCGTGGTGCTAACGTTTTTTAAATGAATAAATACAAACACCGTTTAAAAATAAAATAATAAAATGCAAACCGCCACTTCTTTCAAATGTTTCTTGTCGTTCGTTTTCACACCTGATGATGACCGTTTGTATTATGGTCGAAACGTCATGAGAATTTTTATTGTTTCATATATATTTTATTATTTTATTGTTTCCCTTAAACGTGACTTTACCGAAAGAGCTAAGAATATGAGTTATGACATGTCACATGTGTAAAATATTTTTGGCATAGCCCGCACCTTCATATACCCCGCAGGGTTTTGTTTTGTTTGTAAAAAGTAGTTTACCCCACGGGTTATATGCGGGAAAATACGGTAATCTTGTATTTTTAGTTTCACTTTGTCTTCTGAAGATCCGGGAGTATCGTGACTCATATTGTCGGCATGACGTCGAAATTTATGACGAGATCAATTTGACGCTATTGTGTTAATATATGTTGAGAATAGAATAAGACTGAGCAACAACGCCGTGTCGAACACCTTTGTAGAGTGGAGTCAGAAGAAGTATTACCCAGTTGTACACATTGTATTGTGTCTCAATAGTTTATAACCAACCTGTTTACATTTTCACTAGGGGATTGCATATTTCTGCACTGCCCTCACTCCACGTGAACTGGCAACTTATAACAACTAGTGGATAGTAGTCTTGCATCCAAGCACTACCCAGCTGAGCTTCCGAAGATCTGACAATATCGGACCCATTCCCGGTGAATTGGTCGTAGGCAAATGATAATTCTCTATCGAGAATTAGGAGCGCCAGAAAAAAATCACTGGAGTACAAACTACTCAAGTATTCCTCAGCATGCAACATTTATTTGTGTTCACGATTATATTGAGCCTTGAAACAGACTGCATCAGTGCAATCCTGGAATGGCTGTCATTGCATAATCCGTCTAATCTGTGAACGGACAAACATCATTCCACCAGGGCCAACTGAAGCTCGCTAAACCTGCTCAGCACTGACACTTGAACTGACTGGGAGTGTCTGGAATTCTCGATATGCGTTGTCATTGCTGCTGTGAAGCTTGACTTCCCGGTGTTACTCTCGCTGTCATTGTGATAGAGCCATCTCAATTCGTAAAAGAAACCTGTAGGTTGCTTCAAATACAATGTTGTGTCCGTACATCCATTTCTAAAACTCATAAACCAGTCGCAAACTTACCACGACAATACCGCTATGCATTCTACGTCTTCATCCAAAAGAGCATCATTAGCACATCAGATTCCGCCAGTGTAAATAGTCAGATTCTGATTTAGCCTGCTCAACCTGGAAACCTCTCTGCTCTATTAAAAATGTGCTATTATAATCGTCCCTGCCGGCAGGCAACGTAAGTTGTTGTACGGCTGTGCTCAAAGTGGGCACGAACAAAGCCTGATTTGCACGCACAATAGTCGAGTGATTTCCGGGCCACTGCTGTGATTTATGGGTACGCATGAGCATCGCGATATCGCATACCTGTCAACCCATACAGTTTACCCATATTATACAGGGAAACTTATTTTTCAGGTCCATATGGCGTACAGACGTTTCAATACGGGCAAATATAAAATTGTCCATTTGGTTGTGTTTCTCCCTTGTGATGGGATTTTGTAGGATGAACTTTAAGATTTATAATGTCACGGGGTGACCAATAAGGTCTGAATTGGTCTGTAATAATGTACGCACTAATAAGGGGTTGGACAGGTATGGTATCGGTATGAGAGTAGAATTAATGGAGATTCCATCTGCACCGGAATGAGCACTAGGAATTGTCACCGTAGATGCGACCAAGGGAGTGACGCACACCTGGAAACGGCGCTGTAATACGATAAAATCGGACTGAAATAAAAGCAGACTTGAACAATGAACTGAAGTAACAGCGAACTGACGTAAAAGCAGCGCTTAGCCGATCAAAGAAAGATAAATGAGGGCGCGCCACTTGATCATGAAGTGACTGTCTCGATCCAGGACAATAATCGTTTGCATTCGTAGTGTAGTAGAACGACACTACTGTGGCTCAGTATCGGGGCTGTAGGCGGGTGTCACGGAGGTCGTGTCAGGCCGTGACACTCCGCGTGAACCCAACAGGACACGTGACCGGATAAAGGGGGGCCAGGGGCCCCAGGGGGGTCACGTGGTTGAGGGCTCGGGCCTTCCCGAAGGATCGTGAAGGGGGGCGTGGCCTGGGGCGGAGCCGGCCACGCCGGACTGGTTATACGCGGGGTGTGGACGGAGAGCTGGGCTGTTCTGCTCTGTCAAGTCTGGGATGGAGCTACCATCTACGACCCTCGGTCTCCGGTCCAGAAATGTAGAATCCCCGTGTGTTAGCTAAGTTAGGAACGGTGGTTACCACCCTATGTCGTTAACCTGTTAATGTTAAGAGTTACCCGTTGTGTTTAGATAATAAATAGTGTTGCCTCCAAAGTCCAGTGTGTACCTGCAGTTTTAAACAGCGATTTAACACAGCAGTCTGATCGACCGTATGAACAAACTACCATAAAAAGTTATGTTAAAATCAGATAATCAATACCGTTGGTTTGTATGATCTGTGAACTGTGGGATTTAATCTTCTTCTTTCTTCTCTTTTTTCTTTCTTGTTTATATATAAAAGTCTGCGCGCGCTTGCGAAGGATTTGGCTCCCGAATCGTGGGGTTTAGGTCCAAAAATTTTTGCCAGGCAGCATACCCTAAGCCCCGCGGTGGGAATAGGCTATTCCTTTTCCACATCCGTCACCTTAAAATTAGTTAAATTAGCGATTTAGTGGGATTTTTATTTATTTATTGTGCGACTTCGACCGTACCAACTCACGCCAATTGCGTGGGGGGGGGGGGGGGGGCGGACCCTACCAAGTGATACGCGTTCGGTCGAGCTCACGGGGGACATTTTCTTTTACGCGTTTCACATGCAATAAATATACACATTACGCTGCGGCTATTTCTTCACAGTGTCATGTCCTCTTCGCCCCCCCCCCCCCCAACACGTTGCGTGCAGTTAATACTACAGAGTCCATAGATTATATTATATTGCTTAGATAGCATTATTATTGCATGGGTGGGGGGATGGTGGGGGGTGCGAGGGTAGCGGCCCAGCCCCCAGCCTGACAACGTGCCACCTCAGCCGCCTCGACAATGTAGGCCAGGACGGGGGCTCCACACGGGACTAGACCTCACCACGGCTATGCTAAGTACAAATTTCCTTGCTTCTTACGCTAATAACTCTGGTTCATTGTTTACGATTATTAAACAAATCACTTGACAAATATCACAATAATAATGTTTGTGTGCACATGATAATTCAGGTTCATTGCTTACTATTATGGAACAAATACGTTGCCAGATATTACAATAATTATGTTTGTGTGCAGATAATAACTCAGGTTCATTGCTTACTATTATAAAACAAATACGTTGCCAGATATTACAATAATAATCTTTGTGTGCACATAATAACTCAGGTTCATTGTTTACTATTATTAAACTCATAAGTTGGCAGATATTACAATAATAATGTTTGTGTGCAGATCACAACTCAGTTTCATTGTTTACTATTATGAAACTCATACGTTGGCAGATATTACAATAATAATGTTTGTGTGCAGATCACAACTCAGTTTCATTGTTTACTATTATGAAACTAATAGGTTGGATAATCAGCTGTGTTTGTATGACACTGCAACGGTGTACTGCCAGTCTGTTATGTCGCCTGCTGCGTGCTAATTAATTAACGTTAGTGCACTGCCACTCTATTATCTACACTGCTAATTTTGCTTTTGCCCATTATTAATGCATGCCAGTCTATAATCTGTTGCCTGCTTCTTTATCTCACTCAGTGTAATGCCAGCCTTTCATGTCGACTGTCTTCTGCTGTTTCAGCTGCTGCCCGTATTGCCTGCTTTTTGTCGACTGTAGCAAGGCTTATGTCATTGGGTCGGCGTACTGGCAGTCTATAAACTAGACTGTAGCCTACTTCTCAACTTACCTGTGCGTACTGCTGCTATTTAATTTACACTTATTTCAGCTTATTTCTTCGATGCATTTCTATTGTTTCGATTGCTCACGTCATGCGATTTACTGATACGTAGTACTGCACTTCACCTCCAAAATGGTCAACGCATCTACGTCACAAAAGGAAATGCCCAACAACAGGCCCTGTCTCCACAAGACACCACCCTTATGGCGTTCTTTGTTTTATGCCCAAGTGACCCATTTGCTGCCAACCTGCTCTACCATTAAGTTCCCTCCTACTATACACGGACTGCAAAAAAACCTTGAAGCGACGTGCTGCTGAGGGTGAATCGGATGCCTTGGGACGAGTCTACACAGTTCATCCCAACAATCAGCAGTGCTACTTTCTCCCAATGCTTCTCCATGTTGCCAAAGGGGACACATCTTTCCAAGACCGATAAACAGTGGAAGGAGTTGTCTGTCAAGCATACAGGGAAGCTTGCAATCTTCGTGAAATTCTTGCGCATGATCACCATCTTCATGAAGCTATGACAGAAGCTTCTGTTGGTCAGTCCCCTTTCCAACTGACATTGATCTTCTGCATACATCTTCAAGTTTGCAGCCCATCTAACCCCCATGGGACTCTGGCAAAAATACAAAGAGGGCACGAGTGAGGATATCCTCCACGGAGCTCAATGACAAAATATAAACCTCGACGTCAACTTTTCTGATGTCATCTTCAAACAGGCCCTCATCCTCCTTCAGGACAAACTGCACTCCATTGGTGGAAAATACCTCACGTCTATGGGACTACCAACGCCCTACAGGCACAACCTGCATGCCCTTGCTCAAGAGATCCGACGTTAAATATGCTATTATGCTTACTCAGAGTGAGAAGGATAAGGTTGGCCTGCGTTGTGCCCAGTGTTAGAAATAAAATAAGTACCCTCTACACGACGTGTCGCGGAAGCCGCTCATTACACCTCTTTAAAAAATATATATGCTTAAATACATTGAACGGAAAGAGGGGCAAAGTGTTTCCCAGTTTCCCAAAAAAAACCTCAGCCTAGATCTGCCCTTGGGGTTTGGGGGTGGTTCGCCTCGGGCGCAAGTTGGTGGCAGCCAGTTAGTCATTACACTAGTGACGAAATGGCACGTTCTGTTTATAAGACAACCCTTACTAATTGGCTGTCTCGGGTGGTAGCGGGTTTTAATGACGCAATTATTATTTACGTGATCTGATATTGGTCGCGAAAGCCTACGTGTTATAAAAGGACTCAGTTGTAAAACACAACTGAACATAACATTAAATCATTCCTATATTTGGTATTCATGCCATTATAATGCAAGCTTATCAGAAAGGTGCTATGTAGTTACAACAGTGCTGCAGGAGTTTCATATTAGGGGATGATTTTCTGATATGTTCTCCCAATTCATTAATTTGTGGGCGATTAAAAACAAATTGAACTGTAAGCACGCAATGGCCTGCTCATGTTGAATAATGTCACTGAGACAGATGACGCATAGTTTATGGTCAATATTCACCAGAATCGAAGCGCGAATCTCTGTAACAACGTCACCACCCATATATGATAATTGGCAAAAAAACGTTCGAATTAAATTGAGGCAAACGTCAGTGGGTTAACATGCTTTTGAAAACATTAACTTGACAATGAAACGTAATATACCCAAACGAAACTCAAACTATTTTAACTATTTTATTTTATTTTGCCAGGTAAGGCCCACTGAGCTATATAGATCTTTTTCAGAAGCGGCATGACCACGAATGACAGCTCAACGAAGTGGCTTATCACGTGGAAATATAAAGAAGCCAAGTATTCTAAACGCATGTTTCTAAATGTCGAGGGAAAAACCGGAGGACAAAAAATCCACGCGACCACTCCAAATGTACATTGGTATCCAACCCACGACCCCGTGCATACCAGGCAAGATAGTTAACATCTTGCCCCATACACAAACATGCCTAAAAAACAAAGATGGCAGAAGGGGGTGGGGGAGGGTGGAGAGGTATAAGAAAACAAACTGAGAACAAAATACGTCAAAATACGTGTTGAGGAAGTCTCACAAAGAGACTTCGATGTGAAACTGAAGATGGAATACAACAGAACTCTGTAAAAGAATGAGAGTAAAACAACGGAACACACAACATAAAAAAACTGTCATGTTGAAGTTACACTTTTTTATCCCAGACGAGAAGATGCCATGATAAATTATCACTTGCAAGAGTGACCTCAGTCAACAAAATGACAGAAGCAGAACGGATAGAATATGTACCTTGGTCAGCTGCTGAAGATAGCCAACATTACGTTAATGAAATCAAGCCAGACGTAAATGGGATGAAGTGCTATTGGAAACCTTAACTTGATCATGAAAAGTAACAAACCAATAATAAAAAATAAGAACGCTTTATGTTTCATCGGTGAGAATTACTTGCAATGAAACACGGTCGTTAACAAAAATATAGAACAAAAATGTAAAAATTCAGTTGTGAGCATTTCACACCCACAGCATCAATGGATTGCCATAACAGAGCCGGTTGAACGAGCTCCAGCTGGTATTTGGAGAATGAGGCTTGCTCCATCCACTGAGACAAGAGCTGTGACTGCGATGAAGATTGATTGTGCCTCAGTCATTCTTGCAAAGCAGTGAAGCAATCTGCATTTAACGAGTGGACAGTCCACCACCATAAATAGAATTGTGAACAAAACTAAACTTTGCATATGAATATCAGTCGCGGGAATTACTTTCGAATCCCGGTAAATTTTCCCCGTGCTACTAATTTACTTTTCTGTGAATATTAACGTTTTCTTACAACTGAATGACCCAGAGAGCGCACAATTTTGCCAGCTCCGAACTGCATAACGCAGCCTATGTTATGACATTTTGACTCATAGAACATCATGCAAATCTGAACCACACCCACACCAGGGGTTTTCCCCTACAGCGTATAGCTTCCTACACCTGACAATTCACATTTTCAGTGCGCTACGTATAGAGAGTGTCCGCCTTTTCCACAGACCGATCACAGAGGTACGTCTCGATCGGGCTTAAGTCTATCCAAACGGTGAAGTCTACTGAAATAAAGATGAACGCAATATTGGTGCCAGATCTCGGTACAAATCAATTCCTGCCACCCGAACACGTGCCCAATTTTCAGACTATCAAGGTCAAAGTTTGGCAGCTACAGTATATGGTGTGATCCTATTAACCTAATCCTCCGGAGTGCTTGGAAAATAATAATCAAAATGTTATAAAGCGTCTGTCATATCGACATATCTCAAAGTGCTGTACATAAAATAATTGAAAAAACGATTCAAGAATATAGATAAAATGAAAGCAAAACACAAAGCCACTGATTTTTTTTATATTTTTTATATTTTTGGTATAGCCCTGTGAGCCATTCGGCTCTTGAATCGGGTGCAGCCACAACAAACAAAAAACAAAAACACGAACAAGAAAACATCTTAAAGTGACTACGTGACTGGGCAAACAGAAAATCTATGAAAAAAACAGCAAAAATATTCCTGAAAAAAAGCACCGTACACCAACGCTGTGTGCAAGAAATCCCATTGGGATGCAAGTCAAACAACAACAACCACATGAAAACTTAGATTAAGGCCATCAGTCTAACTCCGTACTACAATAAAACAAACATGTCCAAACCAAAATCGTTTTCGAAATCACCAAAAAATAAAGCCATAATTGCAACGTAGCAGTGATCATAGAGACTGTGACCGAATTTTTACAATAAACTACGTAAATAACATGTAACACCAAATCCTAGAGCCATAGCTGGCTGCATGAGTTACTCCACAACAACAGAAGCATCGGTCGGAGTATCACATTTTTCAATGCACCTTTAAGATCAGCACGCTACACCAAAATACAGATAATACTTTGCAGCGTCATCCGGAGCAAAAACATTTTATTTTATTTTACGCCAATAAATAGCAGTGGCAGCTAGGGGTGTACAACTCCTCTAGAGCAGTTTTGAGAGAAGATCTCATTGATAATAACAAGAACCACGACTCGAAATGCAGACAAGATGAAAATCAAACTACGATCACAGCGAATGATAATAATAACACAGTAATCAAATCAGACAACAGGAAAAGATAATTAATACAATTTGGGTTTGTTTTTTTGAAATCCCAAGTAAATGGGGAAAGCCTGTACAAATAGGTGAGTTTTATGACGTGCTTTAAAAAGTCAAACGGACTCGAGATTCCCCAACGGAGAGAAGGCGATTTCTACAATCGCCTACCACCATGTAGAAACAGGCGTTAGCAGCTACTGCAGGGGTACTCTGTGAGCAGTAGAGAGTAAGGCGGGGGAAAAAACCACATTGTTGTACATTACCATGCTCCCCACCTTCACACCCCACACACTGACCAGTGGCGAAGAACGGCCAAATAACTCTGACAACCAAAACGGCACGGGGAGGTTGCTTATCCAGGAATGGATAAACACATGGGATGTACATGTACACAGGGCCAAGGTCATAACCTTTTAAAATCCTTTTTATACTAAGAAAAGTATGACTTTGTTCTTTCATATGATCATTTCGGTATTAACAACATAAATACTACTACATGTGTATTACCTCTTGCCACGGCAGCTCTCTCGCCTACTTCACCATTTTTTCTTGCTGTGGGTGATGAAATTGCTTGTGTTGCGATCGAAACGTCGTGATTTGTTTAATTTTATTTCTACTTACGTGACGTTACCGAAAGAACCCAAGAGTATGTGTATTACCTTTACCCATTGGTGGAGGAGGGTCTTTTTATGCTTTGGTGCCTCCAAGGCAGGAGAGGGTAATGTTAATGGGGGTGTTAGCGAGGGGGGTGTGGGGCAAGAGGGAGCATCAACCAAAGGGAAGCAGCAGCACTGAGGGCTAAGGCAAGGGACATGATAGGCAGGATGTTAAAGGATAGCAAAAAAGATCTGAGCCAAACAGGATGGAGATCGGAGAAGTGTGCAGACACTTTGGTTGCACTAATTATTGCGTGGACCACGTTTCTTGCGTGTGCGCAGAGACAGAAAGCCGAAGACACAAGCACCGAGTATAGAGAAGTTATAGATGCCTACTGGGCTTGAACAGAAAAGAGTCGCCGTGTACCAGTGGCGTGGGTGGAGGGGACATGCAAAACAGTGAGTGCAGAGCCGAGCCGGACTATTGGGTGTGTCCGGTAGCGATGGAGAGAATGTGCCGACGTGAGAATTTAGAAACGGATTAACGTGTAGCGAGCTCAGAGGCAGGGTGTTATAGGTTGAAATGTATAAAATCGAACAAATAACGATGTCCGTGTGTAACATTCTTTATTTTTTTCACGTACGTTATAAAAAATAAAACTTTTACGCTGTAGATAAAAGTGCGGTCTCTCTCCGACCTAAGGGGCCGTCCATAAATGACGTCACGCACCTAGGGGGGGGGGTGGTCAAACATTTGTGACGATGTGTGATGAGGGGGGGGGGGGGGTGGTGAGAAATGTGACGTCACATCAAAATGCGCAACTTTAAATAAATACAGACAACACGTTCTACTTAATTAATAGACGTTTTAATACATGTTTTTTTACTACAACATCAGAGTGCAGCGCCACATTAAATACGCACTACAATGGCAATAGTTTAAAGCGATTTGAAGCAGAGCTTTATGACGTCATATTTGAGGGGGGGTCTGACTTTTTATGACGCGGTGTGACGAGGGGGGGGGTCAAAAATCGCGTGACGTCATTTATGGACGGCCCCATAAGACTGACGCGCGCAGCGCATGAATTAAGGATGAAGGATAAAATTTAACTGGCAAAATAATTCACAATTGGAACCCTTCAGGTAAACGAATATTGAATCAAGACACGCTGGAGGCTGCCATGAGAGACTTGGGCAAGTCCGGTTCGTCAGGATAACAAGTGTAAGACATCGGATCGGTCTTCGAGGAGCTAAGGGGCCGTCCATAAATGACGTCACGCGATTTTGGACGATTTTTGACCCCCCCCTCGTCACACCGCGTCACAAAAAGTCAGACCCCCCCTCAAATATGACGTCACAAAGCTCTTCCCCCCACCCCCCAAAACCAAATAAAACATGCTTCAAATCGCTTTAAACTATTGTCATTGTAGTGCGTATTTAATGTGCCGCTGCACTCTGATGTTGTAGGAGAAAACATTTCTTTAAAAAGTATGTTTCATTAAGTAGAACGTGTTATCTATATTTATTTAAAGTTGCGCATTTTTATGTGACGTCACATTTCTCAACCCCCCCCCCCTCGTCACACATCGTCACAAATGATGTCTGACCCCCCCCCCACCCCCCAGGTGCGTGACGTCATTTATGGACCGCCCCTAACAAGGAATCGACAACGACGATGGGGTGCGGCTGCTGCGTCAGTCGCCGTACACTGCCCAGTGACGATAACAGAATGTTCACTTAATGATTGCAAGTGTATGTTGGTTAACCACGTGAAATCAGGATAGCCTCATGTGCACGAGTCACCAACATGGCAAAAGTAGTAATAGAAAACGAAGTACAACTATGAAACAAACAGAAATCAGCACAAAAATAACTGCATTACAGAACATAAAAGTGCACAAACATTAAATAAATAATACTTTGTTTCCTTCCTCTAATAAAGTTGGCTCCGACAAATTATTTTTAAAACAACGTTCCTCGTGTAATGAAGTTACAGAAACATTTGCGTATATTTATGGGGATTATTGCACGATGGTGTAAACAGACACGGTTATATCCTTAGCTCTTTCGGTAAAGTCACGTTGAAGGGAAACAATAAAATATTTTTTTATTGTTTTATACATATTTTATTATTTTATTGCTTCCCTTCAACGTGACTTTACCGAAAGAGCTAAGAATATGAATTACTGCAGTCACGAAAGCTTTAAATCAAAAGACACGGTTATATGTCAGAGATAACTACTGTTTACAGTAGGTGAGGTTATGTTACACGGTGAGATAAAAGTCACGCCAGAAACACAAAGATACTCACGCGGAAACAAGCTCAAGTGCTGCACAGAGTGGTTATGTGCCACGTGCAATGGTTCTGAGATGTAGAAGAGTTGGAGCTCATGAGTAACATATATTGTCGTGATTTAAAGCTTTCGTGACTGCAGTAATTCATATTCTTAGCTCTTTCGGTAAAGTCATGTTGAAGGGACACAAAATAATAAAATATATATAAAATATATGTATTGTTTAATATATTTATTATTATTTTTTTATTTCTCTTTCAACGTGACTTTACCGAAAGACCTAAGAATATATATTGTCGTGTTTGCATTCTGGTGGAGTTTCAAGGTTAATACGCGTTTAAAGACTGGGGTTGTAAAGTAATATTGTATTTTTAGCTGAACATTGTCTTCTGAAGATCCGGGAGTATCGTGACTCATATTGTGGGCATGGCATCGAAATTTTACGACGAGATCAATTGACGCTATTGTGTTAATATATGTTGAAAATAGAATAAGACTGGGCAACAACGCCGTGTCGAACACCTTTGCAGAGTGGAGGTATTGTGGTTAATGCACACATGATTAATTGTAAAAAGGTTTCAGTTTTGATGCCAGAAAAAAAGGGGAAAAACCCTATTATTATATTTTGGTACTGACAAAGGAGGTGTAATAATGTAGTTGCTTAACCCGAGCCCTCATTACTTTGATAGTGGCATTGTCTTTGAGCTGTACGCCTTTTGGCGTCCTCTGGTCTAGCAACAATTGAGACGAGGCTCAAAAGAAAGCCGTATCTGGTGTGGACCAATCAGTTTCAAGGACAATGCATATATTATCAGTGTGTTTTTTGCATTTTGACCACAAGTATTGTGGTTATTGCACACGTGATTCCTTGTAAAAAAGGTTTCAGTTTTGTTGTCAGAAAAAAAGGGGGAAAACACTATTATTATACTTTGGTACTGGCAAAGGAGATCTAATGATGAAGTATTACCCAGTTGTACACATTGTATTGTGTCTCAATAACCAACCTGTTTACATTTTCACTAGGGGATTGCATATTTCTGCACTGCCCTCACTCCACGTGAACTGGCAATCTATAACAACCTGTGGATAGTAGTCTTGCATCCAAGCACTACCCATTCATTCTCAACCCAGCTTAGCTTCCGAAGATCTGACAATATCGGACCCATTCCCGGTGAATTGGTCTTAGGCAAATGATAATTCTCTATCGAGAATTAGAAGCGCCAGAAAAAAAATCACTGGAATATAAACTACTCCAGTATTCCTAAGCATGCAAGATTTATTTGTGTTCACAATTATATTGAGCCTTGAAACAGACTGCATCACTGCAATCCTGGAATGGCTGTCATTACAAAATCCGTCTAATCTGTGAACGGACAAACATCATTCCACCAGGGCCATCTGAAGTTCGCTAAACCTGATCAGCACTGACACTTGAACTGACTGGGAGTGTCTGGAATTCTCGATATGCGTTGTCGTTGCTGCTGTGAAGCTTTACTTCCCGGTGTTACTCTCGCTGTCATTGTCATAGAGCCATCTCCATTCGTAAAAGAAACCTGTAGGTTGCTTCAAATACAATGTTGTGTCCGTACATCCATTTCTAAAACTCATAAACCAGTCGCAAACTTACCACGACAATACCGCTATGCATTCTACGTCTTCATCAAAAAGAGCGTCATTAGCACATCAGATTCCACCAGTGTAAATATTCAGATTCTGATATAGCCTGCTCAACCTGGAAACCTCTCTCCTCTATTAAAAATGTGCTATTATAATCGTCCCTGCCGGCAGGCAACGTAAGTTGTTGTACGGCTGTGCTCAAAGTGGGCACGAACAAAGCCTGATTTGCACGCACAATAGTCGAGTGATTGCCGGGCCACTGCTGTGATTTATGGGTACGCATGAGCATCGCGATATCGCATACCTGTCAACCCATACAGTTTACCCATATTATACAGGGAAACTTATTTTTCAGGTCCATACGGCGTACAGACGTTTCAATACGGGCAAAAATAAAATTGTCTATTTGGTTGTGTTTCTCCCTTGTGATGGGACTTTGTAGGATGAACTTTGAGATTTATAAGGACACGGGGTGACCAATAAGGTCTGAATTGGTCTGTAATAATGTATGCACTAATAAGGGGTTGGACAGGTATGGTATCGGGTAGAATTAATGGAGATTCCATCTGCACCGGAATGAGCGCTAGGAATTGTCACCGTAGATGCGACCAAGGGATTGACGCACACCTGGAAACGGTGCTGTAATACGATAAAATCGGACTGAAATAAAAGCAGACTTGAACAGCGAACTGAAGTAACAGCGAACTGACGTAAAAGCAGCGCTTAGCCGATCAAAGAAAGATAAATGAGGCCGCGCCACTTGATCATGACGTGACCGTCTCTATCCAGGACAATAATCGTTTGCATTCATAGTGTAGTAGAACGACACTACTGTGGCTCAGTATCGGGGCTGTAGGCGGGTGTCACGGAGGTCGTGTCAGGCCGTGACATTCCGCGTGAACCCAACAGGACACGTGACCGGATAAAGGGGGGCCAGGGGCCCCAGGGGGGTCACGTGGTTGAGGGCTCGGGCCTTCCCGAAGGATCGTGAAGGGGGGCGTGGCCTGGGGCGGAGCCGGCCACGCCGGAGTGGTTATACGCGGGGTGTGGACGGAGA